TCTGTAAATCAAATACTTATGTGCGTGACATATGATCATAAAAACACACAGGTAGGAGATGTAATTGCGAGTGGTTCCGTATTGAATATTAATATACAGTAAAACATTATAGTACGATAATATAAAGATAATAACGTACTTCCTGCATAGACCTAATTACATAAGTGTGGACTTTTTATATGGGAATAAAAAAAACAGAATTTGACATAAAAAGATTATTTGAAAACTAGAATGACTTTGAAAACAAAAAAGGATTGCGCATAAAAGTCCGCAAAATGAACATTTTTGCGTAATTAATGATCATTTTGCGGAGACGCACTGATATGGACAGTAGCAATTTCGGCCCGAAGTACTCAAGGATACACAACAGCCTTTATACCAATATAGATTCAATACCTGAGAGTGGCGTAATTTACGTGACAATGATCCTCCCGATCCATTAACGGTGCTTTTAGATACCTCAAGCACCAGTCACGGTCCTCACCGAACCCGTCGTTTGCGACGAAGGGCTCGATTAGTAAATTACACACAGCCCACTGAATTTCTCGCCGGATCTTCTCAATGGGTCGCGTTTCCGATCCGGGGGTAGATTCTGCGAAGCACTGTTCTTGTTGGGGCCAGTGTTAGCAACAATCCCGGTTAGAGCCCCGTGAGCTCACCTATATGTCAAGGAGAAGCTGAAATAGCCTCTCGAGGCTATCAGCATAGGTAGGAGAAAAAAAAACTATCGTCAATTTCAAGATTACTTGTAATGTTTTAATAAGGCTTCTCATGAAGAATTTGCTAGGGCGAAGAGTTTTCCAAATGTGCTCTACAGCAAAATAATGGTTTATTGTAAAAATGTTTAATAATATAAAATAAACACCGCTAAATGATAATTCATTAGAGTTTACAAGTAGCCCTTGGAATAGATTTTCGCATAGTCTTCTACACATTATCGTTACGTTGTTTTCCTATTATTATTATTTATTTTTAGCAGTGTCAAATTGAATTATATTATCCTTAAAAATTGCCAATGTGTCTCAACGAAAAAAAAAATTAGTTGCTTCTTATCTTTTCGACAAAGCTTTTATTCCCGATTGACTGATAACGTAAAAGACGTACGAACTAACTTTGTAATGTATAAATCTCAAGCTAATTGACTGTCCCACTCCGCGTGAACCCCAACAGATAATGTTTGGACGTATAAATGAGTTCGATACCGAAACTTTTGCCATCAAATTAAGTAGAAACCGTATCATTGACGGTGCTATCTTTATCGCTCGTAACGAATTGAAATAAATGTTAAAATTGCATGGCAGAGTGGTAAGTGCAATTCTTTTGGATGGAACATACGCTGTGAAAGTGCGGCACAGATAAAAGAAGCGCAATAAAGCATGTCAATAATTGTTAGGGACGTGCCACTGTTTACATGTGAATACAGTGGACACCCTTAGCCTTCGTATTTGACACTTACATTTATCGTAATTTTATGCTATACATACCTATATGTAGACATAAAATTTAATCTATTTTAAAATATTAGATAATGTCTAGACGTACAACTATAATGTAGTAAACAATAAAGACACTTACTTCTGTAGTAAGAAGTAGGTAATAAAAATACTTATTGGATTGGTCATTTAGGTATTGTTTTAAATAACGGAACTTTTAAGGGAGTCATATCAACAAATCGAACATTACAAATTTTTATAAACTTATTTTAATACTTGTTATTATATATTGTGACCGTTCACCACTTTAGGTTTTAATTAATCTTGGGAGGAAATAATCGATTTTCGAACTTTATGCTATCTGGAATTTAAGGAATTTAACTAACCTAGTGTCCTGGAATAGTTGTCAAAGAACATAACGCAATATATTAAAGTACCTATATAACTAACATTGGTGATCAATGTTCATAATTCTAATACACGATGCGTAGTAATTCTACAAAGTGTCTGGTGATAAACCAAATTATAACGCTCCATAACGTCTGTTGACAACTCACTCGTGTAATGGCGCCAAATTTTGGCGGGAGACCGGCGTTGCAGCAACACTATATCGCACAGACAAGCTAATAAGTGAAATGTTAAATCGTGAGTGAATATTGAGTAATAAAATACATTACTGTATTTTTCTCAATAGGTAAATTTAAAATCACTATAGCATTTGGAAAATTTATTTCTTCACTTGTTTATTTTATTAGAACATTTGCCACGTTTCTCAAACCGATAATAGTTTGAAATTTAAAACACTAGGGAATCTTTTTACTACTGTACAGGCTACTACAGGCAGACGAGTTCACCTCTCATCTACTGGCATTTAGTATACCTAGTCAGGTCATAAATTCTGTCACATGTTTAATGTAAAATAATTGAAACAAGTTTATTCATTATGTAACCATTCATATACCAAAATGAACTTAACAAAACATAGATTCTTATGACACTAAAGTTTATTCAAAATGACCTCCGCGATTTTGAATACAGGCCTTCAATCTGCGCGGCCAGTCGTCTATCGCAGCACGAACGAGGTCCATGTCAATATCGGCGGCTGCCTTAATCAAGGATGTCTTGAGTGACTCCAAATTGGTATGAGGCTTTGAGCACGCCTTTTCCTCCAAGTGTTGCCATATCTTGTAATCTAACGGATTCAAATCTGGACTGGAGGAGGGCCAGTCTTCGTGCCGGATGAAGTCGATTTCACGCGCCGCCAGCCAGTCTTGTGCTCTTCGCTCTATGAGCTGGCGCCGAATCTTCTTGGAATACCTTGTGCCTGTTATTGAACATGGTATGAGAAACAGGTTCCACAAGGTTTGTCAGGACTGTATTTTGATACACAACTGCATTCGTTTTTACACCTTTCGCACAAAAATGTACCTCTTAAGCGTCCACTCCATATTTAAAAATGAGTAAAATTCTAAAAGTATACACTTTTATTTTCATGAACAATTCGAAACTCGAATTCAATAAACTTTTTTGTGGCCAGCATTTTAAAAGAAAAGTTTTTACTGTGTGACAATACTTATGACCTGACTAGTTAGTTGCTCAATAACATACATGTTGGTCTAAGTATCATACAAAAATAGTAAAAAGTCTTCAAATCGTTTAATGGTCAAAATAGTTACACTATACAATAAAGGTACTAGTTACAAGTTAAATATGTAAGTTGTTTGAGTAGAAAATCGTTCGTTGGAATAATTGAACACTGATTCATTCAGAGACCCATACTTTTCTAGACTGGCCGAGTAAAACTTAACATTTCGAATAAAATTACAGTTATACGTCAACACTGTCATTACGTCAAAATATCGAAAAAATCACTTACAAAAAAACCAATGAAATTAAAAAAAATTATCTGAAACATCCAAGCTAACCACAATGTGTTGGCTTGGTTGGGCTGTAGCAATGTCTTTGTTCTCCTATATATTTCTGTCGCCAAATCACAAATAGCAAGATAATTCTAAGGTTATTAAGGTTAGTGACGCTGAAGGATCGATGTGTAGTATATAGGTTTCATAATCAAACATTTAACTTCTTATATTATTTTAGCCCATAGACATCTACCACGTAAATGCGCCACTCACCTTGAGATATAAGATCTAAGGTCTGCCAACGGCTGCCCCACCCTTCAAACCGAAACGCATTACTGCTTCACGGCAGAAATAGGCGGGGTGGTGGTACCTACTCGTGCGGACTCACAAGAGGTCCTACCACCAGTGAACTATACTTAAAACAACTATGCTTTTCATTTAAAACTGTTAATTAGCTAGAAAATTCGAACCTACCTCCACCCATCTAAGCAACAAAAAAAAAAGTTGTTTTCCAGTTATTAATTAGAAAATACGAAGACATGCATAGTCCATCCTAATTTAGAAAAAAGAGTAAGCATTATATTATTATGAAGTGTATTATTAGAACTATTTAACGAGCAACAAATGTATCTTTTCAGATGTCCTTGGTTATCTAAAAATTGTTCATGAAATATGAAAATGTGAAAGTTTTGAGAGAAAACATTCAGTTGTATCTATTGTAAGCTCTATAGCAGCGTATTGTTATTTCACTTGAATATTGTAATAAAAAGCACTCACCATTAATTTAATTGTTTTGATGTTTATGTTAAATGAAATGAGTAGGTATGCAAAAACATAGATAAGTTTTACTTTTCTATAAATACAAAAACTAACCACGGTGTACAAATAATTATAGAGGTGTGAATAAAAATTGGTTTAAATATTATTATCAGTGGGCATTTAATTTTATACCTATAGCTTAGGCTTGGATACCAATGGTTACTGTGACGAACTTGTTGTTAGTGGTCTATACTTATAAATGTTTCTATTTCAATTCAATGATTATCACTACTCATTTAATGAACTGTGTATGAAATTGTACAACTTCGCAATCTCCAAGCCTTCTTCGACTTTGAACATATTTTAAGATTGGTCAGCGTTATTCATGCTGTGATTTTCATGAGCTCCTCTAACACTGAAGGTCTGTAAACTCTTTCAACCATCTATTGTAATTAAAGTTGCGCCACTCAGCGACTATTACAAAATTTTACCTAAATAATATACATTACAAAGTTGTTTTTCATGAAATGAGACCATACCATGACCTAGACCTGGTAAATCCATAAATTGATTCTTTCAATATTCATTTATTTTATTAACCGTTTCGTATCTGTGTAAAAGTAGGTCGTTACTCGGTACATATAGGAAAATCATAATAAAACGCTGAACGTGGCTATCTTCAAAGTGAAGGAATGTGAGAACATCATATATTGATATATCTTTCCACTTCAGAGGCTATTTGATTTCGTCTTATTTAATTTTATTTTATTTGGCAGTACTCGATTTCAGCTTTCGTTCAAAACTTACTTTATCGTTATGTTCGTAAAACTGCGCAGTTTCAACTTCAATATCTGTGCCTGTCCAATTGGACAAAATGAAGGCTGTCAAAAAATGTTGACATTCAACTTTTTGACATATGACTAATCGATCATCCCGCCCCGCGCAATGTTTGAAACTTATCGGAAAAGGCTATAATCGTCGTTAAATATTATTAAAAACTCTAGCTCGATAGTATAATAACAATAAGTGTAACTTATTATTTAAGAAGATAAACTCGAAATGTAACAATATTTTGCTGGCAAGCGTAAAGTATTTGACGCGTACACTATTTTATTCATATAACGCTAGGTACTTTATTTATTTTTGTTTTGAACTGTAAAATATGTCATCACCTATTGTGGTTTTATCATCATCGTCATCAAGCTTAGAAGAAACTGGCTGGGAAAACGAATCAGATAGTCCATTTAAAGGAAAACCAACTGTAAAATCTACTAAAAAAAGCGAAGTGATAAAGAAATTATTTACCAAAGAAAAATCGCCAGATGGGCCCCCGAAGCAAAATGAAATAACGATTATGATAGCAGGAGTGAAAGTGAATCTACCAGTAAACCCTTATGGGATTCAGAAGGCGTTGATACATCAGGTAAAACGTAGTTAAATTGTTTGTTTTGTTTTGCAGTTCAACACTAGCATAATGCAACAAGTTCTAATCCTTACAGCCATATATAAGGTTCACACTTATGAAGGTTTGAATGCTATATTTACATCTGTGAAACGGTTAAGTAGATAACTCATTTGAAAATCTCCAGAAGGCTCAATACAGACTGAATGCTATATATATATTCTAATGTATAATTTCAACTTGCACCATGTTTTAACTGTAAAAAATATATTTGAAGTTTCCTTACTGAAAGGCAACATTTTAATTTAGAAAAAAACTTAAAGATTTGCTAATTATCACTACCACTACTCAAGACACAGAAAGGGTCTGAGACTAAGCTAAACAGATAGGCTTTTTAGTTTTTTTAAATTGACTGGTATGATTCAGGTAATAAAGACCATAAAAGCTGCTCAGAATTGTCTGCTGGAAAGTCCAACTGGATCGGGTAAAACATTAGCACTGCTATGCGGAACACTGGCTTGGCTGCAGGCGGAAAAAGGTTAGTGATCATTTGAAACTCGTTCGATAATTGTATAATTATTACAATGAAGTTCTTTTGTATAATTGACCCACTTGTGTATCCCTCTTCAACATAGAACATAATGGCATGGTGCAAATATTAAATTACTTGGATTAAAATTATTCCGAACTAAATATTTTTTACTTCTACCATAGAGTAAAATTAATTGTGTTAAAATTTTATTTGATAGAAGTAGAATACTTCAACAGCCAGAATAATCTGGGACTTGTGACCTACTCTCAATGCCATTGGTGTTATTTCAAGTAGCCCTAGTAATACATTAAAGTCAGTTAGGCATTGGTTGCAAGGTGAATAGTAAAGTAAACACTGATTCAACAAAATAGGCTTGTATCCACTACCTAGTTACTACCATGTACTCTGTGCAACATGAAAGACATATCAGTCAACACGCAATTTATATTTGGAACAAGGTTAAAGGTGCATATAAAAAAAAAATTGCTCTTTTAAATTTAATCCAATTTGCCTTTGCATTTATTTATAGACTGATAAGAACTGGTACTTACCCAAATACAAATTTACAGTCAATAGATCCAATTTAGAAACATGTCCTGTGGTATGGTTTCTAGATCAATTAACATAAAAAACAACAAAATTCACATCCATATTATATATAGATATTAAGATTTAGTTTTTTATTGATAAGTACTTCTTGTGTACTTGGTTATCTAGTACTACTATGCATAATCAGTTTGTAACTATTTATAAATGTAAAGATAATAAAAGCAAATACAAAAAAAAAATATGTCCAAACCTGAATGGTACAATCTACATCTCTATCTACAACTACCAACTACAACAACCAACTGGAAATCAAACACGAACCCCATGAGCCAGTATTTAGCTGACTAGCCCTAGGACTGACGAGTTCACGTAATTGAGGATCCACCCGATCCACTAACACTTAGTCACCTGCAGTTTTAATACTAGGAAGCATAAATACAGATAACGGATCGTTTGGAACCTCTGGGTCTGCGGAGGGAGTCCAGTTCTCTCTGTATTTTGTACCTTATGTTCCATGGGGAGTGCTCTGAGGATTGTTTGAGATGATCCTATCATCTCATTTTTATCATGGTACCGCTCACCATCGGAGTAGTTCATCCATACTACGTAGAGCCACTGAGTTCATCTACAGCGCGTTTCAGATATTTTTTGCCACATACCATCCGGCTTTGGAATGAGCTCCCCTCTACGATGTTTCCCGAGCGCTATGACATGTCCTTCAAACGAGGCTTGTGGAGAGTATTAAACTGTAGGCAGCGACTTGGCTCTGCGCCTGGCATTGCTGAAGTCTATGGGCGACGGTAACCACTCACCATCGGGTGGGCCGCATATTCGTCTGCCTACATGGGCAAAAAAATAATCCCTGTACGGTACTCGTCGATCTCGTTTAAGAGTTCGATTTGAAACTTAGCCCATGACGTCAACTCGCTGAGTTTCTCACCGGATCTTATCAGCGGGTCGCGATTCGGACATACTAGTAGATGCATTCGCGAAGCAGCTACCGTTAAGCTATTAAGTCTCCTTTGGAGGCGTTCCGGCAGCTGTTATCAAATCACATCTTTCTTGGCCAAACCCTAACTCGGCCAACTGACCTGGCGAAACTGGAAACAAGACTTTCAAGACGAAGTTTCATGAGTTTATTCAATAGTTTGTGTCTATCTCCTGGATTGTACCCTTACCCTTAATAGTTTTTTTTCCTACCTATGCTAATAGCCTTGAGAGGCTATATCAGCTTCGCTCTAACGTGTAGGTGAGCTCACGGGGCTCAAACCGGAGTGTTGCTAACACTGGCCCTAGCAAGAGCAGTTCTTCACAAAATCTACCACCGGATCGGAAACGCGACCCACTGAGAAGATCCGGCGAGAAACTCAGTGGGCTGTGTCTATGGGTTAATTCGCTCGTCGAGCCCTTCGTTGCAACGACGGGTTCGACGAGGACGGTGACCGGGCCTTAATAGTAATGCTTCGTCTTACCTTAGAAAAAACAAAAAAAAACTTATTTCGCACCCGAAACCAAATACACGTAATAAAGTATTTTACGTAAATAAACAATCAAATACAAGAGTCGCGTGCGTCGTATTCAAATACCGACAATCCATTACATATAAATCATATAAAGTCGCCTGATCATCGGCTAAACAGCCTAACACGAAAATTGCGCTTTGCCAATACCGAATGCATTTGTCGCATGCAACCGCGGCGCTGTGCTGAAGTATAACGGCGCAACTGATATTTTTGTCTTTAACAGTAAACATATTATTCACACGTATATTCGATCTATTACTAGGGTATAAAACTTTTGATGCTAACAAAGACTTGATAGGTTTACCCCATAGACAAATCTTCACATTTTATGAACTGTAAATTAAAATAAATAAGAGGAAATTCGAATATATCAACTTGGACCTTGCCAAATACCAACAACTAAATTGAGACGTAGCTATGTAGAAGTCTTAAGTTTCATCATCATTATCCTGCCCTTCTCCCAGTCACATGGGGTCGGCGTAACATGTTTTCTCCTTTCATACTCTTCTATCATATACAATTTCTTCGCGCACTCCCCTCTTACCCATATCCTCTTTCACACAATCCATCCATTTCTTCTTAGAAGCCTTAAGTTTAATCTGATTAAATCTAATCATATATTTTGCTAATTCAAAAAAAACTATTTGCTCACTTATGCATCTGCGCCGAAAATTCACGATATAGCAGTAACGTAATAGAGAGCAGTTTTACACCGAACCTTGTATGCACTCGAACAAGCCCGTGTCAGTTGTTAAACGGTAAAATATCTCCTCACGAAACTACCGTTTGCAAACTCGATAAATTACGACCTTAATAATTTACGTAAACCACTTTGTAAAGGCCGAAATAAATTATTTTGAGATATAGATAGAAAAAGTCGCGTGCCGGCAACATTGGTTTATTGGGAATGATAACTGTGGGCTCAACACTTCGATATCTTTGCTGGTCGCAGCAGACAGTACTTCATATTTAACCCTTTCGCTACTACCGGTGACTATATCAAATCAAATCATCATCATCAACAGCCCACAGTCGTCCACTGCTGGACATAGCCTCTCCCAATCCACACCAATGAGCCCGGACTACGGCTCTTCTCACCACTTCTTGCCGGCCACCGTTCGGAGGTCATCGCACCACCTAGCCAGGGGCCGTCCCACGGTACGTCTTCCGCTGGGCGGTCTCCACTCGAGAACCTGTGACTATAGTGTCCCGCCACAAAACGCTGCCTGTATACGATGGCCGATGTGCAAATTTTTAGCAGGAAGCTCGGATCCTGTGAAATACTTTGCAGCGAGGTCTGCCGTAGCCAACGAGTTAAAAGAAATATAGGGACAGAGAAATGCATAAAAACCAAATTAATAAAGTGGTTACCGAAGCTCTCACAGACATAACTGGAATATCGCCTACCCTGAGACATAATCGAAGTCGTAAATGTATTGTGGCTGTCGAACATTTCAAACAAGAACGCATGAGGCTTACAATACTTCCTCCGAGTAAATGTCGGTTGGTCATCGCAGTTCCTAAATTTTAATACCCCGAGAACATTGCTGTTGCTGCCTTAATTGCATTTATACCGAAATAAACGAATAAAACACGTTACAATATCGTAAGCTAAAATAAAGAATTTAAAGAACAATTTTCAACTTTGCAATTAGTCGAAGTTTTGGTGAGAAACCTCGGCAACAAATCATGTGGTTTTGGCGGGTGACAAGCGCATTTTGCGCTGCCTTGAGAGGCTATATCAGCGTAACCTTAACTAGTAGGCGAGCTCACGGGGCTCAAACCTGACGACGTTGCTAACACGAACCCTAGCAAGAGTCGTGCTTCGCAGAATCTACCACCTGATCGGAAACGCGACCCACTAAGAAGATCCGGCGAGAAACTCAGTGGGCTCTGTCTGAGGGTTAATTTACTCGTCGAGCCCTTCGTTCGACGTTCGACGAGAACGATGACCGGTCGAGAACGTTGCTGTCCCTTAATTGCATTTATACCGAAATAAACGAATAAAACACGTTACAATATCATAAGCTAAAATGAAGAATTTTAAGAACAATTTTCAACTTTGCTATTAGTCGAAGTTTTGGTGAGAAACCTCGGCCACAAATCATGTGGTTTTGGCGGGTGACAAGCGCATTTTTATAGCGCGCGCTAGCTTCGTGCACTTTTATTTTTACCCATGAAAATTTCGCGCCCAATTTTCTTTGTGTCAACCGTTTTGACATCTATATCGTGATCGAGTCGATGGGTGGTACCATGAATTATAATAGATATAAAAAATTGCCGATTTTATTTTTAATCTTCTCGAAGATGCAACCATATTACTGGAACACGATTACTTAGTTTGAATAAAAGTGATGACCAACTAAATGGTGTTAATACAGTCGTGAGCTTTCTTCAAAAGCTGTAGGATGTATTCTAAATCATTAGCAGAAATACGATAGATAAATTAATGTATATTTGAAAAAAATATTTCTACGTTTGTAAGCACTACAAGATAATAACCGGTTGTTAAGATGATTGACGAATCATAGTTATCGATGACTGCAACTCCACAACTATAACCATTCGTGTTGGCGTTCCATGAGAATTGATACTATCCTTTGGACACTGAAGATCCTAAAGATCTCAGGGCTTGCTCTAATCCCTAAAATCTAAGATTGATATGGTCCCTTGCTCTTTTAATTGAATGCATATTAATGACATGCTATTTTGGCAATTGCGTGTATTTTAACATGGCACATTCGAGGTAGAGCAGCCATCAGAATATCATTTGAAGAACAATGAAAAATTGCCGATCAAAGCTGTATCAAAATATTCCAATTATCCTATATTCTATAATAGTATTTTCTGTTGTATTTCACTCTAGTAGTGATCGAGTTACACCTTAACAAACCAAAGTAGCACCCCTACAGAACTAAACTTAAAATAAAGACA